TCCAACAGCTTTAACCGTAGACAGCTCACACCATTTTTGGTCGTTACGTAACTCTCTCCAAGCGTACTCGAGGGTAAACCTTTTTTTGTTGTTGTTAGCTGTGAAGATACTGTGGGCTTCACTGAGAACATCAGCATCACTTTCTCCACTGGTTCTCGCCCTGGTCGCAGCCTCATATGCCCCAGAGAACTTGCAAACATTTGAATTAATTTTTTGCCAGCGGTTTTTGCAATGAGCTGCCTCTCTCTTCTCACGGCCAGCAAGCTTAGGACTGGCATTGTAGTACACTGCTATTCTTGTCCAGAATGCAAGCGACTTTTGCTCAGTCCCAATTATGGGATCTTTGCTCGTATTGAGCCACGCGCTTATGAGAACAACATCCTCAGTAGGAGTCCAGCTTCTTCTTCCTTTACGACTGCCTTCTGTGTCTTCAGTGTCACGAGCAAAGTTCGAATCTTCGACTCCTTGACTGCCAAAGAAGGGAGCTTGGGAGGAAGAGAGGGACTCGTTACCAAACACAACACTTTGTTGCCTGCTAAGCAGGTCAACAAAGTTTCCAGACTCACTAAAGGGATAGGAATTCATGCTAAGAAGGAAGGGTTTTGTTGTAGTTAGAAGATAATGAAAATTTTCAGAGATTGAAGCTATTTTTAACGAGGGAAGTGAAGTAATTACACCAAATTAATTACCTAACTACAAACATACCCGAGTTGACATATATCTGCCCTGTGTAATTAACCTTTTACAACTACTACACCAATAAGTTTTCTTTCTATTAACTACCCTATCAAACCGACTTGTGCTGTCATATTTCATTTCGGAATTAAACGAGCATGCAAAGATTCTATTTATTACAACCACTTATCTACCACCTAACTCTACCGTAAAACATTCAATGATTCTCTAAAAGAAACAAGACTAAATCAGGAACAAAACGTTTTCAAAAACCTTAATTCAAAGTACATTGACATACGTAGCCAGAGACACAACCAAACGGGAACAAAATATATTCAACAAACTCAAATCAAAACAACAATGATATACATTGCTCAACAGTCTACTCAAATATATATCAAACAACTCGACTATATTCAGACAACTCCATTTACTGGACTCAAACATAACAAGAATGCAACAGATTTATCAAACATTCAACCAAGACTACTCGAATATATTCAGACAACTCCATTCAGACCAAAATCAAAGACTCGATTCTAACAGATTATACAAGTCTTAAACAATAACGACACTCGATTTATCAAACATTCAATCAAAGGTCTTGAATTTTACCTGTTTTGAATATGTCTTGTTTGAGGTTATCTTCTCGTGGTCCGTCCATCTGAAAGAACAAAGACAGAGACATATCATTAATCCACATTCGAACACAACAAACAAATATCCAACATACATAGGTTTACCTTTCTATTTCATTCTATAGAGGAGAGGAGATCGTCACCAAGAGACGCCGAGAGATCCGGAGAGAGAGAGAGAGAGCCGAGGAGAGTAAGTCTTCGATCTCCTCGAGGAGGCGTAGAGGAGATCCAGAGAGTCGGAGACGCTTTCATCGTCCCGGAGAGAGACGAGGAGAGACAGAGAGACACGGAGAGACAGAGAGACGAGGAGAGACAGAGAGTCGAGGAGAGACAGAGAGTCGAGGAGAGACAGAGAGACGAGGAGAGACAGAGAGACGCGGAGAGACAGAGAGACGAGGAGAGATCTTCCTCCATCTCGTCGAGAAGCCGTCGAGGAGATCCAGAGAGTCGGAGACGCTTTCATCGTCCCGGAGAGAGAGAGAGACGAGGAGAGATCGTCTTGCATGTCGGACTCGCTTTCATCATCGAGGAGAGCCTGAGAGAGGAAGACGGTTAAACCATCGACAGAGACGACCACCGATCATCGCCGATTGATCGAAGGGAGATCGATTTCTCCTTGAGAGAGATGAGAGAAACGGAGGAGTCGAGACAGAAACACAATTGTGTTTCGTGTGTAAGAGAGAGAGAGGCACCGCTTGCTGAGCTGCCTACACGTGTCATGAAGCAGCGGTGCTTCTGTGTGTTTAATTAGGCGTCGAAGCTTAATTAATTAAGCCTTTTTCATTTTTTTTTAAATACAAAAGTGACTAAGCACTCCCTTAAGCAACAGCGTTAAGGGTGCTCTAAGGCCCAATACAGATTCAAAAAAAGCTATAGATTGTAGTTCTCGAGCATTATTAAGTGATGCATAACAGTGACAGAGATGATTAGATTTATTGTATACTTTAACACACTAGAATCTCTTGCAATATATTTGATTTATTGATTTTGAACTCTATTTAAAAAACAAAACTCTATTTAGTACTAAATTTTAAATTCATAAACTAGTGGTATGCGCTACAACTTATCCAAAACATAAATTTTAAGTTTAATATCTCTAACTCTCTATTGTCCAAGTTCATGGGAGTTCGGAAGCTCCTTATACATTGTCCACACATGTTGTCCGTCCTTTTGTATTGATTATGTCTTGTCTTCTTTTTGAAAACAAGCAGTCCCATCTCAACTACTTAAGTTTTCCTACTAGACTTCTTTTCCAACAATAACATACTCTGTTCATTTGCAAGTTTTAGATATTTTCAGTCTAAGATCCACTTATTAGGTTTGATGCTTAATTACTAGTTAGGTTCATGCACATTGATGGTGACTTGGTTGTTGTAGCATTTGATTTACTCTTCCTCATCCAAACACACTCAATGCTAAGTATTTTAAGTCTCATTTGTCCTGGTAAAGTTCTTGATATCTTGATGATCTGAAATACACTAATTATCTTGGATGATTTTGCTTACCTCCGGATGGGTTTAGGTTTTAGAATTTTCAAGTTTCCACTGTTGCAGGAGATACACATGCATTCAAATCATATTCATAGATGCAGCAGTACAAAAGGCCATTGTTACAATAGAAACAGATCCACAGTGAGGTCAAAGGATCAAGGTCATAATTGAGCAACACATGTTTTTGTACTGTGTATTATTGATTTAGTTTGTAGTACACATCAATCTTTTTTTTAACAAAATTAAGTTTATAAAACAAAAATAAATCTGGACCAACAGAAATATCATTTTCCAAACTGTTAAACGGCGCGTAGTCCTAATACAGGTATACCAGACGACACGTCTTCGTGCACGTGACACAAAATGGAACGTAGTTCATTTTATTTCGACATTAATCAGCTATTTACTGACGTGGCAAAATCAGACAAAACATCATAAAGTCATAAACTCAGAAGCCCATTATACGGATTCCAACTCTAAAATAAAGAAGATTTTTTGGAGTTAATAAAACACTTTCGAATCCGCACTTTTGTTATTTTCCTTCAAATTTTATGTGCCTTTTATTGCTTTAAGAATCCAAGAAGCTTCTCCTCTGAAACCAATCTGCGACGAATCCAATATCAAAAGATGAATTCGCTTAGTGTTCACCGTAAAGTTTAATCACTTTCAATCGATTTCACCGGTGACTAACTCAATTTCCCTGTGGTAATAAGCATTAAAGTTTACACTCTGTATTGTTTCAAGCTCTGATTTTGTTATTTCTTGATAAGGTTTGGATATATACCTATTTTTTGCATTCGAATATGCCCAATTGACTGTGAAAGCCTTTTGGTTTGTTAGTTGTGAAACATCAATGGAATTTGAAGATGAGTAGTTGAAATCTGTAGTCTTTTTAGTGTTTTGTTTCTCTTCAAAGGCCTTTTGTTTGTGTGTTAAAAAAAGATACGTTTCTCTTTGAAGTTAAGGAAGTGAATCGGTTTAAGTTTAGGTCATTGTACATAGATGCAAGCATTCATATAGTGATCTCTTTGGACTATACATCTCTCTTAAGCTTCCTTTTGTTGATTTGTTTTTTTTTGTGGGTCTTACTTGAAGAATATGTTGATCATATAGCAATTTATTTACTTTTTTTTTCCTCCTGTTTTGGATGTTCAGGCTGTATTTGAGTTTGGTTTGCGATGGGAACTGTGGTTGGAACTGTTGAGGACTGCAGAGAGATGTTTGAAAGCAGTGCTGCTCAGACAAGGATCGCACCGTTTTCTCCAACTAATCAGATTGAAAATCCTGTTGCCTACAAGCTTGTCCGGGTACTGTTGCAAATTGTGTTCTTTTGTAGATGTCACTCTTATACTTTATCCTCTTGTTTGATATAATTTCTTTAAGTTTCTGTAATTGAGAAATCTATCTACTGTGAATATATAAAGTGATTAGCCTTCCAAAATCTGATCTTATTTGGTTTATGGAAATTAGGTTGCAGGAGATGGGAGACTAGTTCCTGCAACCGATGAAGAAATTTTTGAGGTCAACGAGACAGATATGCATACTGCATCAGATGCTTGTCACAGTGTAGGCTACCTTCCTGCTGAAGGGTCACCTTCTCAATTGTCCCAACTAGAAGAAACTTCTGAAGGTTTGCTTCGCACAACTCTTTGCATGTTGAACAGATTTTGCTCAAAAGCCTATGTTAGTTAGTTCTACTAATTGGTTTGGTGCTAGCGAAATGCATTGTATATCCATATGCACTTATCTAAACATTTCCATAGAGAGCCAAATCTTGGTTTCCTCTAGACGTTTATCATTCCATTTCACGTTACTACAGACGTTTTTTTTTTCCTATTAGAGATATATGCTTAAGTCTTTCTGGCTTTTCCTCCTAGATTCAGTTATTGCTTACTTACATCTTTGCAATAACTTTTTACTTGGTGTCAGCTGTCAATTCAGGTTTATTGCAGTCTGATTGTGTGGAACCATATACAAACCAGGTGAATTCTCAACCTGAGGTAGTCCCATTCACACAGGATCATTTATTTTCTAGCATTGTATCTTTTCTACAACTACTATTTTCTAATTTCTGGTTCTAGATGTTCTTGAATTTCATATGAACACTTGATGACCTTACTCAGATTTTTCTCGAACTTTTGAGTTTCTTACAGTGTTCTGAGATGTTGCAAAAGGTCGAGAAGGATGAGAGGCTTGTCATGATACATGGATCTCACATGCTTTCTACTCCTCCAGATACCAATATCCAGTTTTGTAATGAAAACAACATGTTTGATGAGGATCAGGTCCACCATGAAGCGTTGCTGCAGCAACCCATTCCTCTCTCATCAGATGTTCAGACTGGATGCAATTTTGATCAATATAATACAGTTGAACCATTCTCAAACTCAACAGCAGCTAGTCCAAAAGAAACTGCAGCGCCTCCTGCGGATACTCAAAAGCCTGATTTTTCTTTAGTTAGAGGTGAGATCTGCTTGAATAATTTGCCTATTAAAGCACTGCAAGAAACATTCAGGGCAACCTTTGGCCGTGAGACGACTGTTAAGGATAAGACTTGGCTGAAAAGGAGGATTACAATGGGACTTACTAATTCCTGTAATGTACCAACAACTAACCTGACAATTAAAGACAACAAGCTAGTTGTAAATCAAGACAAGGCCAGTGTAAGGGCTACTAACCTGAAAGATGCACCACCATATAGTACTGATCACGTCAGTGGACATTCAAATACTTCTGGCCATAATCTCACTGAAGATTTTTCTTGTGAAGAGAGGGCTGCGAAAAGAGTTAGGAAACCTACACGAAGATACATTGAAGAACTTTCAGAAACCGATGAAAAACAGCAAAATGACAACAAGTCAGTGGTTACTTCAAAAGATCAGAGGCTTTCCGAAAAAACTGAGGTCAGGTCTATAAGCGTCTCCTTGGGGAAGAGAGTCACCGTCACCAGGGTGGTATCACTTGCTGGATCTGAAATTGAGGTTCCTTATGTCTCTCATGTCCGGAGAAGCCGTCCAAGAGAGAACATCATGGCTCTTATGGTATATCTTTTTATAGTTATTTGGCTTTTCTTTTTTTTTTTAAGTTGGAATGTAACTAAAAAGGATAATGCAACATTTGTGTAGGAATGTCACTCCAGTTGCTTGGAGGCAAAAGCTAGTTCAGGAGAGAGTAACATGCTACTACACAGTGAAGTGGTGAACCTAGATCCATCAGTGGTAAAGTCTGCTTCTGTACCAGAACAAAAAGAAGTAAGACATACCTGTTCTTTTTGTTCTGTCTGTCAATAAATCTTTTAAGTTTCCTTAGTTTCGTTAACCAACTTTGCTGACAGTAGAGAATAGATTTCATTTACCATCCACCTGATATTTTTAGAAGAAATTTGTTGCAAATAATGATACAGTTTCTCGTTGTTAATGCAGTTAGCTACAAGTAGCAGCAACAACGAGGAGGAGGATGTTCTCACTGAAGTTGATCAAGACATGGAGGCAGGAAACATTGACTCATCTGGAAATAGCTCTGATGACAATAATAATAATAATAATATTGGTGCGACGCCAATGATGCAAGGTGGTGGACTTAGAAGGAAGCATCATCGAGCTTGGACTCTATCTGAGGTTACACAATTAGTGGAAGGTGTAGCCAAGTATGGAGCTGGGAAGTGGTCCGAAATCAAAAAGCTCTCCTTTTCATCTTATTATTCATACCGTACCTCTGTAGATCTCAAAGTATTTTAACTTTTTAACCTCTCTTGAGTAATACTACTCCTATAACTCCAGGCTTTGTTTATAAATCATCTATCTTCTTGTTTTTTTTTTGTAGGATAAATGGCGAAATCTTCTGAAAGCAAGCTTTGCTCAGAGTCCCTCAAACAGCATGGTACGTTCCTCTCTCTCTCTATACATTCCTTTTGTCAACAAGACTTGTGTTTGTGAATATGTGGGGGGTTCTGTGTCTTCAGGGAAGTCTTAAGAAACATGGATCCATGCACATTCCTATGCAGATTCTGTTGCAAGTAAGGGAGCTCGCGGAGAAGCAAGCACTGGTCCCACCGAATCAACGATAAAATAAAGGTTGTTGGAGATTGAGGAAACAGGATCCAACTGATTGTAGCTGAGTTTTGTAAAATATCAACCAAGTAAGGGAGATGAGAATGTGAGATAACTGTTGGCTTGTGTAACTTTTATTAGGAAGCTTTGGTCTAATTTAAACTATCTTTTTTGGTCATTTAAATGGCTTTTCATATCTAAAGGTGAAACTTTGCTCTTAGTTTCATACTAGGATAAGACGTGCGCATTGCGTAATGTGAATGTACGTAATTAAAATATAATTTTAGTATTGACAAATTTAAAATTTACATATGATTGTTTTTATATATATTTGAAATTTTAGAATTTTAGAATTTTTATATATAATTTACACGTAGGATCAGAAACAATTGTAATTAGAGCGGTAGATCAAAGCTTAGAATTAAATGGACCGATTTTATATATCTTTTCACTTTTCAGTGTTTGAGTGATGGAAAATAAACAAAGTGTCATTGAGTTTAATTGGTAGAGTATTAGCAAGTTCTCTAATGGTTTCTTAAGAAACAGTTGATAACATATTTACATTTAAAATAGATAAAGTTTCAAAACTAATTTAATAGAATTTATTTATTTGGCTAATAATATTAGAAAATTATGTATTTTACAAATTACTCCCTCTGTTCCTAAAAGATAGACTTGCTAGTGTTTTCACACATTAAGAAAACACATTAAATCATTATCGTTTTCAGTAATTTTCAATTTTCAACAACTTTTAGCCAATAGTAATCTAATAAAACAAATTAATTTTTTTGAAACTTGTAATTTTCTCATAGAAAACAGAGAATATACATCTTTTTGAAACAAAATATTTTTCCAGAACATGGATCTTTTAGAAACGGAGGGAGTATATTTTAAAAAATATTTTTATTAAAAATTAAGTTAAATTTTAAATTATTTTTAAAAACAATATTTTAAGTTTTTCAAATACAGATAAACTATTTAAAATTAATTATGGTCATGATTTAACATAACCATAATGATTTTAAAAAATTAAAAATTTTAAAAATTAACAAATTAAAAATTAACTCAGTTTTATATCATGATTTAATAATTTAAAAATTAATTGTGGTCATGAGAAGTTTACGTTCCCATGTCAATCCTATTTATCTTCAATTTTTTTTCTCTTGTTCTGTTTTTTTTTTTATTTTGGTTATTACTCGATATAAATATTTATTTTGAAGTTTATTCTCATTTCGTTTGTTTGTTTTGACCAGGGATTTAGAAAATACTTAAGATTTAAAATAATTAAAGAGATACATACTTAAGTTAAGATCTGCACTTTATGCACAATAATATTTTATATTTATTATTTATTTTATATTTTTATGCATATTATAAAATAATAAATATATATATATATATATTAAATAACTAAGAAATCAGTTACTATTATGTAATAAATTAATGTATGCATATAAATTTAACTATCACTCTTGTTTATTCGCAATTAGGGTAAATAAATCAAAATAATCAATCTCATATATTGTATATGATATATAATTAAATTTAAATGATATAAACATAGTAATATAACACACTTTTAATATGTATATTTATTAAATGAGGATCCACTCATATGATTTTATGATTATTTACATATTTGTGTAACAAAACTTTACACCAACGATTTTTTTTTTAATGTGAGATGTTTAGTAGTTCAATCATTTATAATAGTTTTAAAGAAACAATGACATATTTCAAAACTAAAATATTAAAATTTCAATATATGTTCAATGCAAATATCAAAACATAAGTATGTATTTTCATACAATGTATAGTTTAATTTAAACGATATGAAATATATATAAACTAAAAATTTCTTCATATGTTCTTATAATCATTATATTTTAATATATAAAAAAAATTAAAACTTTGATCCTAAAAGTTTATGTGAGACTTTAACTGTTTTAGTAATTTATACTCATTTTGAAAAATTCGAAATACAACATACAAAAAAAAAATCAAATAATAAAGAAAAAAACAAAATGATAAAAAGTATACATATTGTTATGAATCTTTATTGTATAAAATCATAAATTGTCATATATATATATTTTAATCACATTAGGTAATTCCGTAGGTTTTATTTAAGGAAAACATGCGAAACAATAAATATTTGATATATGCGACCAACTATAACCTATGAAATATTATATTGCTAGAGAGTATAACTTTTAGACTATACATTATATTACATACTCTAAAATCCTTCTAAATTGAAATAGAAGACAAAGAGCTATGCCACATAGGATTTAGGTTATTTTTAATTATTACAAACTTAAGGTTACAACTATTTAAATGATTCTCTTTTAATATATAGGGGATTAGTTGTTTTGTCCGCATGTATGGATATTTTTTTTTTACAAATACTTATTAATCTTTGTTTTATTAATTCAAAAATAACATAATAAGCTATGATTTATGTTTCTAAAAAATAATTATAAATGATTACGTTCACATAGCATAATATTTTTAAAAATATATTTATACAATTTTTTTGCTTGATTTATATTATAATTTATTTATCTTTCATTTTTGTTTCGATAATAGAAAAATATTTTTTCAAGATAATAATAATATAATACATAAGCATTATTTTATTTTCTAAAATTATAATAAAATTAATAGAAATTTGTTTTATTATAATAAATTATTTATGAAATTATTAAAAACATAAAAATAAGTAAAATTATCTAAATCATAGAGAAGTTAAAAATCATCAAATTCACTTAAATTTTAAAATAGAAAATATATTTTCAAAATCACAATCTAATAAATAAGAATTATCTTATTTTCTAAGAATATAATATTACTCAAATAAATTTTTTTTTATTATATAATAATTATCACCAACATAAATAGATTCTATGAGGACCCTGCAAGCCAAATTGGTAACTCCGTATTGAGGGAATTGCCCGTATCAAAATTCAAAAAAGAATCGATGTCATTCAGATCATAATCTATATGGGACCATATGAACAACGAATGACGTTTTCTTCCTGGCACTCCGCCAGGCTGTATGCATTTGAATTCAGCGTCCGAGGTGTATGAATAATCTTTGAGTGATTGAAAATTTCTTATAGAAACTTAATGCTTTCCAAATAATCCACAAAGACTGATCATTCTTCTGGTGCAGAAACCATCTTCATCAATTGAATACAATCCGTCGCAAAAAGTAACATGGTATTGACATAAGTTTCTCATGCTCTCCATTGCCCAAATGAGAGCTTCATTTTCGAATGTAATGGCGAAATGTTTGCTCTCGTATTCCTTGCTGCATTAGTCCCTCTTAACTTTGTTACGTGCTATACCAGCCTTGTCCTGAAAAATGTTCATACAGTTTCCATGACCCGTCCGTGAAACACTATCGTTCAAAGATTTGAGGTAAAGTAAACTCTACCGCCTCTTGTACTTGGGTAGTTGTACTCACGAGTTTGACATGTGCCTCAGCCCACAGAAAAGCTTCCGTCTCTGTCAGTTTTAAAGTATCTCTAGGATCAACATCAATGTTACTAAACACCATATTGTTTTTTCCTTTCCAAATATACCAAAGAATCTATAAGAACTGATAATCATCCATTTGCAGAGATATAATCCAATATAAATAATCCATATTCGTAAACAACGCATGTGAAGGGAAAATATATATATTTGAGGGTACTTTTGAGAGCGCTCATACTTGGACTGTCAGAGGACACTCGAAAAGACACATGATTAACTGATTCCTCGCTCGCTCCACATCTTCCATACTGAATTTCACCATGCATACCCCTATTCCGCAAGTTTTTCTTTACTGGTATACAACCGATATTATCTGCCAGAGAAAATGTTTTATTTTTGGTGGGCAACGAATCTTCTATGAGTGCGCTTTCAATGGGGTGACCGTGGGTCCAAAAACTGGGAGTAATAATTCGTTGTCTGGGTAAACCCGTTCCACATGATATCCTGATTTAATCGTATACCTCCCATTAGTGGTGAAATGCCATCTAACTTGATCTATCAACCAATGTCTGCTTAATGCTGCACTTTCAATGATCTTTGCATCTTCTGGTGGCACCAATGAACGAATTATCAGAGAGTTCCAAGTACGTGATGATGGGTGAGTTAATGAATCCACTGTGAGATCCGGGCAAGCGGTTAAGAACGAAAGATCATTCCATACTGATATGGATGATTCTAATCCCATCTTTTTGATTATATATAAAATTATCTAAAATCAAGGTAAAGTTGACAAATCAATATTGCTTCATTTATATCTAATTACAATTTTATATATCTTAATTTTAATTTATATAATAGAAAATATATTTTCAAGATAACAATGTAATACATAAGAATTCTTTTATTTTATAAAATATAATATATTAACATAAATTCATTTATTATAATAAATTATATATCAAATATTAAAAACATGACAAATAATCAAAATTACCTGAATCACAAAGAATTTACAAATCCATTAGCAAATTCACTTTAAATTTTATAACAGAAAAATATATTTTCAATATAAAAATTTAATACATAAAATTAACTTATTTTATAAGAAAATAATATTACTAATATAATTTTTTATTAAGTAATAAATTATATATGAAATTATTAAACATGAAAATTAGTAAAATTGCCTAAAATTATGGAAAAAATTGACACATCAGCAAAATTACTTCTCAGAAAATAGTATATGTTGACAAGAGAAAATAAGAACAAATTTGTATCTGAAACATCAGAAGATAATTATAAAAATAATTAAAGGGGCCCAAACGATAACAAATTGCAGTCTTCCAATTATTTTTCATATGTGAAAGAGCATCCACAGAAATTGCTTATGTATCTATAATCTTTGTGTGTGCTTTAAGTCTCAGAACTCATAGTAACTGATAATGATGACATTTGATGAGGTCTAAGCCAAAACTCTGGTTGTGAGACTGTTCTTCATGACCTGAATTGTGTCATGTTCAGACACACTACTCCCAGTATATAAAAAGGAAAGAGAATGTGAAGAATGAATCGCCATTCAGGGGTTATTGTGTTCACAGCCACCGTTAAGAGTGCAGAAGGAGCATAGATTAGTCCCAGACGACAAATTATTAAGTCTTTTTTTTATATAAACGCTTTTAATGGAATTTGGTTTAAGAGTAAAAATGGCTGACCTAAATGACATGGCATAACTGATTATTTTGATTGATAGCTTATTTTAGTTAATGTAGACATCTTACTGTTTTTATTTAGT